TTAGGATTTTTGTAGATATAAAGGAAATTCTTTATAATCCTAATTTTCTAAGGTTCTCTCCTCACGGGCGGGTACTGAATTTTATCAAATGATTTTTCTATATCTATTGAGATGGTTATAATTTTCTTCTTTATTCTGTTAACTAATTAATTTTCAAAGCTTGAACCAACTTTGCATTCTTGAAATAAATCCACTTTGTTTGTGATATATTATCCCCAAATAACCCATGTATCAAAGAAGGTCACATTGAAAATTAGAATATATTTTGAACTGAATGATGATGGAAGTATGAAATATATGTCAGAAACACAACATTCGTATACTATTCTTTCAGTGTTTATCCCAGATTCCAGCATGCATACTTGATTTACTAAAGTCTAATATAAATTGTTACTTTTATAACTTATTGGACAAATCATGGGATTTAGAGTACTTTAACTCCATTTACTCCCCTCCCAATTTTTGTGCTATTGCTGTTGTTATTATAGGTTAATTGTGTCCCTCCTAAATATATGTTGAAGTCCTAACCCCTTGAGGTTGTGAATTGGAAACTGGGTCTTTGTAGATGTAATTAAGGTAAGATGATGTCATACTAGATTAGAGTGTGCCTTAATCCAATGACTCGTGACGTCCTTAAAAGAAGAAGGAAGTATGGACACAGATACACAGATCATGCGAAGATGGAGGCAGAGGTTAGAGTGATGTATCTACAAGACAAGAAATACCAAGGAATGCCAGCAACCAACAGAAGGTAAGAAGAGGCAAGGAAGGATAATCCCCTAAAACCTTCAGAGACAGTGTTTGGCCCTGGTGACAACTTGATTTGACTTCTAGTCTCCAGAACTGTGAGAGAATAGATTTGTTGTTTTAAGCCACCGAGTTTATGGTACTTTGTTACGGTAGCCCTGTGAAACTAATATAGTTGTCATGTATTTAAATTCTCTCTATATTTTAAACCCTGTGAGGCAATATTAGTATTGTTTTGTGTAGTGAATACTCATTTATGTTGATCCATGTTTTGACTCTGCATTTTTTTTCACTTCTTCCAACATCTCTGTGCATCCTTCTAAGATCATTTTCTTTCTAGTTGAAGTATTTCCTTAATGTGGGTTTGCTGTTGATGAATTCTCTCAGCTTTTGTTTGCCTGAGAATGTCTTTATTTAACCTCATTTTTTGAAGTTGATTTTTGCTTGGTATAGAACTCCAGGATAGTTCTTTTTAGTACATTAGCACACTGAAGATTTCATTCCATTGTCTTCTGACTTCCATTATTTGGTTTTCTGAAGTTTTATTATAATATATAGGTGTAGTTTCCTTTGGATTTGTGCTGCTTAGAATTTATTTTTCTTGTTTCTGTGGCTTGATGCCTTTCATCAATTTTTGAAATTTTTGTCATTATTTCTTTAAATATTACTTCTGCCCCAGTCTTGCTCTCCTGTCCTTTTGGGACTCAAATCATAACTCTACAAGACCAACTTGTCCCCAGTCTCTTTTTCTAACCTGCTTTGTTCTTTGTCTTCTTCCTACTTTTCTATTCTTTCCTTCCTTCCTTCTTTCCTCCTTGATTTTGGAATATTTTCCACTCCACTTCATTTTCAACACTGCTTCCAAAATTCTCTTTAAAATGCAGATATAACTCTATAAGATGCCTGTTTAAAAACCTTCAGTGTCTCCTATTCTGTCTGTCCTTCATCAAACATGTATTAAACTATTGTGTCATGTGCTGTATTTAGTGCTATTTATGTAAATTAAAAATACATCAATTATACTATACATGTTTTATGAATTAATATATATGTAATTAAAGTGTGATAATGAGGACCAGAATGACTTATTCCTATTTCATATCAGAACTCAAAAGAAGATCAAAGGGGATTTCAAATTTATGGGATTTTTGGTAATGTGAAGCAATATGACAAAATGTTAGCATGCATTAATCTTGAAGGATAAGTACATGGGTGCTTTTAACGTTATCCTCTATACTTTCTGTATTTTAACATGTTTAAAAAACAAAATGTGCTTGGTATAAAGTAAGCATGAGATGTGTAGATGTTTCTTTAAAATTATCTTAATTGTTAGTCTCTAAGCTCTTCTATAATATGAGAGGCACAGTTAAAAACAAGGCAGCTAGTCCCAGTAGAAGAGTCACGTGCAACTGAGATTCTTTCTTCTGTAACTCAGCAAACTAGCTTATTTATCACTGTAGAGGGGAAGAAGCAGGATTGAAGAAATTTTGAGTAAAATTGGTGAATTTTTGTTTTATCTCTTTTTTTCTTTGTCAATTGTTGAGGAATGTGCTACTGATAGCAAACAGCCCAATGGTAGGCAAATTAAAAAGAGACTGGCTAATTAGCAAACAAGGTAACTTTCGCTTGAAGAATCATGTTACATATTTTCTCAAGGAAATGAACTGTTGATTCAGGGACTGCTGTTACCCAATCAATGATCAACAAGTCATTCATAACATCTGTCTCTTTGTGGCCATCTTTCTCAATTGAAATAAAAGAAAAACTCTTAAAATTCTCATGTATATCTGTTAATATTGAAAATTTAATGAATAGAAAATTTAAAAAGTATGTAATGATGAACAGAGACCCTGAAGGTATCAAAGCAACTCTCTTTTAAAATTACCATTACAGGGCTTCCCTGGTGGCACAGTGGTTGAGAGTCCACCTGCCGATGCAGGGGACACGGGTTTGTGCACCAGTCCGGGAGGATCCCACATGCCGCGGAGTGGCTGGGCCCGTGAGCCATGGCCGCTGAGCCTGCGCGTCCGGAGCCTGTGCTCCGCAACGGGAGAGGCCACAACAGTGAGAAGCCCATGCACCGCAAAAATAAATAAATAAAATTATAATTACATAATATACAAATACACGACTTCCCTGGTGGTGCAGTAGTTAAGAATCCGCCTGCCAATGCAGGGGACATGGGTTCAAGCCCTGGTCCAGGAAGATCCCACTTGCTGTGGAGCAACTAACCCCATGTGCCACAGCTACTGAGCCTGTGCTCTAGAGCCTGTGAGCCACAACTACTGAAGCCCCTGTGCCTAGAGCCCGTTCTCCACAACAGGAGAAGCCACCACAATGAGAAAACTCGCACACCACAACGAAGAGTAGCCCCTGCTCGCCGCAACTAGAGAAAGCCCACATGCAGCAATGAAGACCCAACGCAGCCAAAAATAAATAAATAAATTTATAAAAAAATATACAAATACAGTGAAATTTATGTTGAATAGAAAAAATTACTGAATAATCAAGGTGAGTTGCCACCACTATAAAAAGGTGCAACAAGAAAATTTGAAGTCAAATTTCTTTGGAAAACAAGTTGTTCAAAATAAGTAAAACAGTGAAGGCTATCATTAATTGGCAAAAAACATGAATGTACTTCTTGGAAATCTCAAATCTAACTCATAAAGTACTAAATACGTGTGTCTATAAAATATATATATGTATATTAAATGTATATGTGTATATAAAACATTGCTGAAAGAGCTCTTTAAATATCAGACACAAGTCTCTTACTTTACAGATGAAGAAACTCAGGCACAAAGATATAGGATACTTAATTTTATGCAATGGAATACATTCAGGAATTTACAGAATTTCCATCATTCCACTTCTAAAAGGTATTATTTTGGAGGGTGCTATTTCCCAACATGTGCTCGCATACTAACATGGTGGTTCTTATACTGTGTGTACAGAATCCTGTGATTCCAGAGAGGTGTCTCAAAGGTCACAGGGAAGGAGGAAAGAAGAAGATGGATGTAGTGGGTAGTGGGAATCACTCTTCATCTTGGACGGGTCTCCTTTTATCCATTTCATATACTGGGATTCTGCAAAGATTTCATTTAAAAAAGCATCCCTGGCCTCCCTGGTGGCGTAGTGGTTGAGAGTCCGCCTGCCGATGCAGGGGACACGGGTTCGTGCCCCGGTCCGGGAGGATCCCACATGCCGCGGAGCGGCTGGGCCTGTGAGCCATGGCTGCTGAGCCTGCGCGTCCGGAGCCTGTTCTCTGCAACGGGAGAGGCCACAACAGCGAGAGGCCCGCGTACCACACACACACACAAAAACAAAATAAATAAAATAAAAAAGCATCCCTCTGCTAAGTATAGGTTTGTAAATCATTATAACCTCACCAGGATACAGCTGCTCCATGAAAGTCTTTCTCCACAGCTTAGAATCTGCACTGTGTCTAATCAGTTCTTCTTAATCATTTGGCGGCATCTGGTAAACCTCATGGACTTTCTTGCCAGAAACATCATATAGGCATACATTTTTTCCTCCAAGTTTAGCCATATTCATGGACTTCCTGAAGTCCATTAACAGATCCTGGGCTAATAACACCAACTCTAAAAGCTTTATTTAGAGGATTTAAATAAGAAATTTCTGGGTGAAAAAGAATAAGAATTTGGTAATAATATTAGAGTGTGTTTGGAAAAGATGGATATTTTTAGCACAGCTTAACTTATAGGACCAATTTATCCTGCCGAATGAAAAACAAAATATACTTTTGACCAAACTTCAAGAAGCCTATGTACTCTTTTTTTTTTTTTTTTTTTTTTTTTTT